AAAAGAAGCTGTACGCACAGCTGTACGAGTAGCGTGTGCGTGCCTGTGCGAATGCACCTGCATGAAAATGACGTCGGCCAGCACGTCGTATTCTAGAACGTGACGCGTATTGTAACATAGTATGAATCAGGGAGTAGTGGTATTGTACTACTCCCTGGTATGAATAGCCTAAAATATGTATTAAATACCAAGTAAAGTCACGGTAACGGTCTACACCCGGGAATGTCAATCACACTCACAGCCGGTCTACACCCGGGAATGTCAATCACACTCACAGCGCTGGAAAAACGCATTGGGACGATACAGACACCAATTCTCCGCTTGTTGCAGCGTCAAACGGCATTTAAACCTACCACACCTCGACTGCATAGGTGATACGAATATTGAAATTGTGCTGATCTATTCAAAATTCGTCTCACTGCAATCGCCCTCCCAGAAGGCTTATCAGAATAAGAATACCATCGTTGGACGTTCTATCGAAACGAGTGGCATGGGCTTGGGTGACCCACAGCTACGGAAAAAGAGAACTAGGGGGGGGGGGGGGGAGTGATTGGCCATCCTTGTTCCTCGACTATAGTCGCTGTTTAATACTGCTGCTAACCGAATGGTTATTATTGAATACAAAGACATTTCCCAACCACGTATCACCACCACGAGTCGTAACTACTTAAACTGTATTCCCAACTGGCGCGTGGACGCAGTACACTTGCGGTTCATGCGTGACCAAACGTGCGCTCAGGCTTTCACAAAAAACCCACATTTCGACCCGTATCTAGGGTGTGCGACACCTTCGAGTACTTCCTCCGTTAACAAAAACTTCGTGATGGATTTTCGAGGGGCTGATTTGGGCAAAAACGGCAGTGAAAGGAGTCGCTATCACTTTCTTGGCCTTCCCTGGCATGCCATGAAAGAGGTACGATGCAAGGAAAGCGACCTTTCACAACAAGCCGAGCGGAATCGATGGTTGCGCTGTGGAAACATAGGTGATGACAGTCATGGCGAGCGAAACTGAAATACCACTTCTTCGAGGGGATACTGCGCTGCTTGGCCTAGCGCCTCTTTACCACTTTAGCAGTAAGTTGGAGAGTGATAGAGAGCGATAAAACGGAGCAGCGAGCCCACAAAATGAGCGAGTGAACAAGGAGCTGCTCCGATCGCACGGCTCGATGAGAATAATTCTGAACTCAAGTTCTTGTTCAACCTGCGCAAAGCCCAGATTCGAATGCTGATGACCATGCTTTATTTCAGAAGTCTGCAGTCCGATGCGAGTCTCGTGGCTGAAGAAAGTCGACTGGACTTGCTAGCCGCTGCCGTTCAGTGCTGGCAGGGGTATCCATTAGAGAAAATGGAATCAGTTTGGCTGTGCCTTCACTCCTCGTTTCGCGGAGTTCTGGAGAGCGAAGGTGAAACCAGGGAGTCGTAAAATATTTTTCACGACTCCCTTGTGGAAACGAGTAATCGCCATCGCGGTGGCTCATGCGGCTTGAAAGCCAACTAACTTGAACGACGGCGACATCAAGGTCAGCGGAATGTGATCAAAGAAGCCGAGGCAAGGCTGAAACGAGCTGAACAACGACTCGAGAGAGATGACGGTTCGCGTGCAGCAGATGACGACAGCGAAGCAGGTCAAAAAAGAGTCGAGCGAAAGCGACGCAAACTGAACTCTCTGCTCATTCCGCCAACAGTTTCTCTTGTAAAGATGCTGTACATAGACTGAATTACCTTCGTCCAGTGATTTGCAGTCGATACAAACTGTTCTTGACCTGTTCTAAGCGTTTTCATATCCATCAAAATCCATCACGAAGTTTTTGTTAACGGAGGAAGTACTAATTTCTTGACCCCGCCAGTCAAAGTGACTGGCATGTACACTGATACGCGCCAACATGTTGGGATTTCCATTTCGGCACGTTTCCATGCGCATGGGGCCCCAAAAGCCAGCAACATATGCACAAACGCGTGGTTTCAGGCGTACACACGCCAGTTGTGAGCACAGCTTTAGAGGCTTATAGGCTATTCATACTACGTTACAATACGCGGCACGTTTTGGAATACGACGTATTGGCAGACGTCGTTTTCATGCAGATGCATTCACACAGGCACGTATACCGGTACGCCTTTCGTACAGCTGTGGCACAGCTTCTTTTGGACACAAACAGCTGGGAACGACAGAACGAACTTCGGTACAGGGGTCTAGATACGTCGTCTACGTTTTCGTATCAGGGGTACGATTTTCCCGCCACGTTCCATGTTGTCATGGCTATCCAGACGAAAACGTCACGTACGCCGCGTTTTGGGCATAGTGTGAACGGCCCATTACCACTTTGTGACATTGCTTTATCGAATTTCGGGGCAGAAAAATGATAACTGACCTGGGGGACGTCAACATTCACATAATTTACTGATAAGATCATCCCAATTCCTACGAATTGGGCTCGCTTTAACCTGCCCCTTGGAAAAACATGATTCCGCGGCCGCTGCAAAATTCTTAGAAATTGCCATCATCCGCGGAAATCACGGAATTCACACTTTTGCCTGCAGAATCCGAATTAATTATTTTTTAGGGTAAAATACTAAAATTTCTACTCAGAAAGCAGCAGAAAAACTACTTTGCGATCTGTGTGAGCACATGGCACAAGTCATGTAACACTAAATAAAAAATATAAAAAAACTTGCCAGTGGGGAGGTTCTGCTCTACGTTATGGGAACGCGACGCAAAGAATCACGCGAACTCTCTTCGCGTTCCCGAAATGTAAAGAAATCCTGTTCTACTTGAAACTCGGGTATTGAGCCAATAATAATAATAATAATAATAAAAGTAGAAAGGAAAAGGACATATGGAAACGAGTTAAGAGTAACTCTCCACCACTGTAACTAGATACTATATACAGTCAGAAAGTGCAACAACTAGGCACAAAACTGACAGAGTACTAGTTGTTGCACTTTCTGACTGTATATAGTATCTAGTTACAGTGGTGGAGAGTTACTCTTAAGGGGGCACATCACCCAAAAATTTCATATGGCATTCAATTGACCGTAACTTTGGTGTTTCTCAGTGGATTTGAGTGAAATTTTGACCACACACTCCTGCCACTATGCTGGCCCTCAGGACATGATTTATAAGTTCTTGCGCCTCACTGACAGGCTTTCCAGGCCGGAAAAACTCAAATTTCCGGCATAGTGCTACGGTGTGCGAGCCACCCAGGAGCCAAACAAATGCATTTACATTTTTTTCACATTTTCGTGCCCATTCTGTCCGTGCGCGGGACCCAAACCTAAAACAAGTCCAGAAGCAGCCATGGGTGGTGGGGTAGGGCCCCTCAACGTGGCCCTGGAATCTGTCACAACGGAACGAGTGGGCGTTCTTTCACGGACTCCCACAGACCCAAGTCAATTTTTGAATTTTTTTAGGTTTGGCACGTGCTACGAGGTCGTACCTTTGATACAACATCCAGTGCTGGGACCTCCACAGCAAGCCATTTCCACATAACAGCGCTGCACACCAAATCCAGGATGCCCTCAGAAACCGGCAAAGACTGCCACTCACGTTTCACTACTGCCTAGTACTGAATCCTACCTGACTTCTTGACACGACTCAAACTTGCCAAAGTCACTAAATCAACGTCAACTACAATAATCAAGCCACATATCTGCAACGTCACGAGGGTGCTGGCAAAAGTCCTGCTGCACGGCGGCGGGCTTCGCCCGCCGCCGTGCAGCCCAATACGTGGTTTTTTAACGTGATTTTTTGGACTTTTTTGGACTTGGGGCAAAATTCTGCACACTTTCGCGTGTTTCCATAATACGACAAGTTGCGCACGGTCTGCTCACATTCAAATACAGTGCTGCCAACAAATGACAGCATGCAACAAAAAAATCTTTCCTTGCAAGGACACATTTTCGGCCATAACTCTTGAACGGCTGGTCAGATAGGGACACAGTTTTCAGAGAATTTGCAGCTATTCATGCTCTTTCAACTGACGTAGCACTCAATATGAATTTACAAATTCGATTTTTCAGCGAATTTTTGGGTGATGTGCCCCCTAAACTCGTTTCCATAATGTCCTTTTCCTTTCTACTTTTAAATCCTGTTCTGCTCTACATTCACGTAGAGAAGTCACGTGGAATGTGTACTGGGAATTTGCCCTTCCATATTTGGCAGTTTTCTGCCTCCACTCTGCCTGCAGCCCTGCACTCGAAAGATATCCAGCAGATCCGTACGCATTTTCTTTGCGTGTGCCACAACGTAGAGAACCTCATCTACGCGTAGAAATCTGGACCCAAAACACGCGAAGCCGTAGACTCTAACCCAGACACCTGCTCTCTACGTTTCACGTATAGCAGAACCTCTCTAGTGTCGGTGAGTGCAGGTCTCTCCACGATTCTTCACTCTCAATCAGTTTGTGACTGCAAAGGGTAGTGTGAATATCCTCTATGAGGAGGGTGAAAAACTTGCAGAAAGTGCAGCAGATTTTTGATTTTACCGCAGAAAATGCCGCAGAACCCCCCCCCCCCCCTTTTCCCCGCGGAATTTGCCGCGGAATTTTGAATTCTTGGCCGCGTTTTCCCAAAGGGACCAATTTTTATCCGCTACTTGAAGAAACGTTATCCCAAACGGGTGTGTAAAGATGCGCATACATCAATGCATGTTCTGGGTGGCCAGGTAGCCTTGTTGACAGGCCTTGCCAACCTTCCATAATCCATTATTTGGCATTACGCCAATATTTTGTCAGCTGAAGCCTCGGTAGGACAGCTCCAGACGTCAGACGGCCAAAAACGAAACTTCTGGTTGACTAGTCTGAGGCAAAAATTCACGTAAGACTCGGTTAGAGGCTCAAGGCAGACTGAGAATCATATTCCATAGTCTCATGTTTGGAAGGCCAATGCTCTAACCACTGTGCCGAACACACACAAAAATGGATAGTGCGAGGTTTACTGGGATTCAAGTTCCACAGGCAAAATCATTCACTCACTATAAGTATACATAATAATTATTATGCACA